TAGTCACTGAAAAAAAAAAAAATAAAAAGAACAAACGAATGCAAATAAAACAAACAGACAAACAATTTAAGTAACCAACAAGTTCATATAATGATAATAATGATGATGATGATGATGATGGCAAATCAAGTGAATATAAAAGTTAAATGTAAGAAAAAAAGATGATGGAAATGATATAATCATCATCATTCATTATCATTATGGTTTTAGATTTTGTTTTTTTTTTTTGCTGTTAAACATAAAATGATGTCATGAATAATAAAACTTTTTCACACTATTTATTATTACGAATTTTTTCTGGAAAAACTTACGAATAAAAGTTCGCTCTATTGTTATAAATGAAATATATATTCAGCATCAGAGGGAAAAAAATGGTTATATTAAGAACTAGCTAACTTTTAATTGATTTACATGAATCGTTATATTATTACAACAACAACAACAACAACAGAAAAAACCAATGCAAATGTTAGTATTAATCAATTGTAACTTTTTTCTTTTTGCTACTATACTCATATGGATAGATAGATATTTCCGAAAAAAAGAGTTGAAAAGTTCATACACTTTTTTTTAATGCTCAAGAATATTTTGGAAATTTTTTTTTCTGCAATAGCAAGTGTAGCTATTTTTGTTATAAGATTCACTTACTCATATCCACACATACATAATGATATCAGAAAAAAATAATGACCCCATAATGCCATAACATTGGAACATTTTCCATAATTTTTTTATCGTTGCAATACCGTTGCATGGTTTTTGAAATTTTTTTTTTGTTTTTGTTAAAATGAGCAAGACAAATAACATAAAAAATAATCAACTTGAAACAAAAGTTTTTTCTATTGCCAAAATTTTTTTTTTTGCTTTTTTCGGGTTTTTAGTTTTTTTTTGAAAAAGTGCATGATTGTATACGATAATGTGTGGTTGTTCAACAACAACAACAACAACAACAAATGTTATAGACAATAAAATGAAAAGACCAAAACAAAAATGGAGAATAAAAAACAAACAACCCATAAAGAATCATGTCCAACATCAAATATGATGATATTCACCGAAATTAGAACAGAATAACGATTGTGATGCTGATTCGTGGACAAAATTAAAATAAAACCGGCCATAATATTCAATGAACACAAAACACAAAACAGAATAAACAAACAATAACAAGAAATAGACTGAAAAAAATTATGTTGTTGTTGCAGTAGTAGTAATAATAATAACACGAAAAAATAAGAAATACCTGATCAGAATAAGAAATGATTTTATCATCAACATTATTATTAGCTTTATGCTTATTGTTTCTCCAGCATTGTTGTCTTGAAAGAATGAATGAAATTATTCTGTTTTCATCATTTTAACATTTTTTTTTTCGTGAGCTTCACTTTCATTTTTATTTATCGATAATGATAATCTAAAATGATGAGTTTTGATTGTTTTTTTTTTTGCTGGAACTGTCTGTTTCTTTCCCTCTGAGGTTTAGGTGCAAGTTTTATTCATTTTTCTCTCATTATTATTATTTACTAATGAAACAAGTGTTGCATAAATCAATTTGATTCAAAGATAATGACAATAGCGACGATGATTGCTTATACTATTTATGTGATTATTATTAATTTTTTCCGCTGTTTCATAGTTTTACTAGGGTTACTATGGAACAGAATCAAAACAAAAAAAACAAAAACAAAGACAGAATTTTCTACGATTCGATCATGATACATACAGACAGATAAATACATTAAGTTATTTGATGAAAGAAAATAAAATTGATCTTCCCGCTGTGAAATAAGAATTGTAACTATCAAACACACACAAAAAAAATGTATATGGGCGCACACAATGATGATCATGATGGCATCAATTGAAATATATCAGACAAAACAAATTGTCATTTTGTTTATGTCTTCGTATTTTTATATTGGTTTATACCATAGGCAACGAAAAGAATCACGACCAAAACAAAACAAAACAAAAAAAAAATTTAAAAAAAAATAACATCAACTACAAAGTGTGATGACAACTGAATCAAAACAAAAAAAAAGAGACAAAACAAAACAAAACAAAAATCAACGTCACGACAACAACATTGTGGAACATTTATTTTCGTTTCTATATTCATTCATATAATATAATGTGCGTGTGTGATCTACTTTCATGCATCTTTTTTTTCTAGACTATGCCCAATATATATACAAGTAATTGTGATTTCTTGACGGCAACATTGATGGCATATAATATGGCGGCAGGCAAATGTTGACAATTTCCAAATTTTTTTAAAGTTGTATTAAAAACAACAATAACAACAACAACAACGAATCGAGTCCAAACAGCAAGAAGAAAGAAATGTGTATTGAATTCAATGTATGCATCTATGCTAACATTTAAAGAATGTTGCATTTTTTTTCTATTTAGCTAATGTGATGTCCATAGAATTGTGTATTCTGGGTTGCCAACGCGACATTTTCATTTGTTTGATATAAAAGCAAATCGCTCCAGGAACTCATCCAAATAGAACGACATTATCATCATCATCATCATCATCACCAACAACAACAACAACAACAACAACAATGATTCGAGAATTTTGTTTTTATTGGTAAAGAATTCAGACGTATCAAATATATCGACCGTTATAAAGGAGAAAAAAAATTGTTAATGAATAACTATTGTTGTACTACAGATTGGACAAATTTTTTCGGAAAAAGAAAATATAATCAAATAAACTGGTAATATATTTCCGGTTGGTCTGACACAAAAAGCATTCACACACGCACACATACAAAACAGTTTGACGTATTTCACGATGTATGGTAACGAATTCACATATTACAATTATTTCATCGAAAACATTATATAAAATGAAAATATGAAAAATGAATTTATGAACAAATGACCAGGATTGTCATAATCAATTTATAATATGACCACTATAGGTCAACTAAATAATGATGGTGATGATAATCATCATCATCATAATTTACATATAATTGTACATCGAAAGTAATTGGCAGAAAAAAAAACAAATTAAAAAGTAAAAGGTAAACCTTAATGATTAAGTTTGATCTAATATAAATGAACAATGAACGACAAATGACTTTTTGTCATACAACAATGAACGAACAACGATATAAATCATTTGAAAGGTACCAACAACAAAATAAAATGACAATGCATTACAAATTGATTATGGTGAAAGTGTTAATTTTCATAATATCTGCCAAAATGTTGTGTGTTGTGGAAGATAATTTCACTCAAACAGAAGTGGAATCCTAAATAAAATAAGATTAACAAATTTTGCCACGATTCAAACAACAAAATAATAATTATCCTTAGACAGTTAATTAACAAATTGCCAATGATAGCGAAAATACAAGAATGGCAAGAATACAAGATAATTTCAAATAAATAACCAAAAAAAAAAAAAAATTACACACAATGTTCACGTTCACATGTCTGTCTGTCGATTCCATCATAATCATCATCATTATTATCATCATCAGTAATGATAATTGCCAACACGATCAAACCAAATATAAATTATCATACATTTGGATGATTCTTATTATCAACAAAGATCTGTTTGGATTTTTTTTTCTGCATAATACAAATAATGAATGGACATTGTTCATGCTATGTCTGTGTGTGTGTGAACAACAACATATTGATTAATGTTAATCAAGTTATGAATGTTGATTGAATCCTATGGACCAATATATGAGATTATAAACAAACACACACACACACACCAAGCTTGGTTAAGCCCAAACTTTTTTTGTTTTTTTTTTGTAAATCAACAACAATAAATTGGGTGTAGGTGTAGGAAGTGTATCATGAAGATGATTAAAAGTTAATTAACATGTAATAAAAACAAAAATCATTTTAAAAATTTCAAACAAACTATGGTCACATGAGGCCAATGTTGCAAATAAAACAATGGAAACTTTTTTCCGATAAAAATTTGTGCATGTTTTATTTTTCTATCTAACCAGGTATAATTATTTATTTTTTTGGAGCAAACTAGCTCATATTAATTAATTGAACGCAAAAACAACAAAAGAAAAAAATTTATACAGCCAACCTATTTGTTTCAATCTCTCGATCAAATACTGGTACTTGTGATGCTATTTTCAATTTTGTCGAGTTGTCGCTACAACCTGCACAAATAACATGATCAATAGTACACATGAGAGCTTTGATTGTATGTATAATATTAGGAAATTCCGATAAAAATGCCAAAGTATCAATGATTTGGTATGTGGATTCATAGATTCATAGAAAAAAAATCGATCCTCTTTTTTATGTGATATATGCGCATTTCTATGACCAAACCAAGTAAGAGTGGATAAAATTCTTTTTTTCAATAGCAAAGCATCATTTTCATTGGACACTAGCAATAACAACGACAACAACAACAACAAAAAACTCTAGTCAAATTGATGGTCCATAATAAAATTATCACCCCATCATCACCATTATTGTTGATTGACCTATATATAATAAACGATGTCTGCCATAATATATTTTATTGGCTTCATTATATACGCGTACCATCAATTTGTACAAATTACCATCTAGCCATCAAACCGAATAACAATGATAGCAATTACTGATAGACAAAAAGATAAACAAAACCATCCCACTTCTTACGATTCAAATGCAATTATGTATCGATGATGGCATTGAAAATAAAAAGGTTTCATTGATGATGATGATGATGGAATTCGTTTCAATCGTTTAGGTTTAGGTTTCGAATAGAAAATTGGTCAACATACACTATCAATTAGGGTAACTATTTTTCTATCAAAAGAATAGTAATTTAATCTTTTTTTTTGTTTGAAGTTTTTATTTCTTATTTTGTTCTCTTGTTCGAACTTATTATTTTTTTTTCTTTTACATTCTGTAGAAAACTTTTATTCATTCATTCATTGTTGTTTTTAAAAAGTTTTCAAGTCAAAATCAAATTCAAGAAACAAAACAAAACAAAAAATTAATAGCCAAACCTGGATCAAAATCATCAGCATATTCAGGCGGAGGTGGTGGTAATCGAAGTGATGGATATCGTGATAATAATGTTTTTAAATCATTCTCTTGTCGTTGTGAATAATAACGATAAATATTATGTTGTTGCAAGAAATCATTGGTTGTGTTGGATTGTGGAGAAGATGCATCCGATAACATTATCATTAGATCACTTGTGTTTGAATATTTTTCAATGAAATTTATTGTAGCAAAATTTGTAGTTTGATTATTATTGAATTGCTTATCGATTATCAAATGTTTTGCTGTCTGATTTGATAATTCATTTTGTTGTTCTAGTGGTAGTATGTCTTTTTTTATTATTCTATCATGAGGATAATCATTGTCCACAACAATATAAACATCACTGACATTATTATGATTAATTAATTTGTATTGTATCATTATAATCATTGTCATTATGACGACGACGATGAATACGATGTAAGGATGATGAACTTGGCATTATCATCATCATTTCATCAGACGCTTCATTATCGTCATCATTGTCAATGGCAGATACATTTGGTACAATTGTTGAATCAACAACAACAAAATTATCTAATCTAGAATTATAATCATTTGGGATTGATTTTTCTTTAGAAATTATATCAGAACCAGTCAGAATTGTATTATTTGTTCGGATATTGAACAATTTATCGTTCAAATTCACTGTATCTTGTGATGGTACACTAATGTCGTTAATTGCTGTAATATTATTATATAATTTTTGCTTCTTATTCCATTTATTTTTTAGTAAAGAAGTGGCCGTCGTCGTTGTTTCAAGATTGATTATATCTGTAACGACAATGAATTTTGTATTATTATTTAATCTGGTTGGATTTTTGATCATTTGACCTTTTGTTGTCAACTGTAATGATGGTGATAATGGTGATGATGGATTAATTGTATTTGATGATGGGCGAGGTGACAATGATGATAATGATGATAATATTGTAGGTGAAATGGTTTTAATGATTGTTGGGAGCATATCTTTTGCTTCATTTTTGTCATCATTGACATTTTTTTGCTGCCATAACAAAAAAGGCGTTGTTGCCATAGTCGTAAAATTGTTTTCGATTCTTGGAATCGTATTCTTTGTTGTCAATGTTGTTGTTGACGTTGTTGTGACCAACAGTGGAGAATGTGTAGTCGCATTTGGTTTTCTCATCAGAATCAGAACAATGTCTTTATTATTTGCCTTTTTTGTCATGATAGCTGATGATAGTTTTGAACTTTTATTATTATTATCATTATCATCATCATCATTATTATTGCTTCTAATGTTTAATGATGATGATGAATTAATCATTGTCCATAATATTGATGATGGTGATGCTGATAATGGTGAAATGGATGGAACGGAAGTAACGAAAAATGGTAAAGGTGATGGTACTGATGTTGTCATCGTCGTAGTTGTTGTTATGTCAGCGGCAACAATCGTTTCGATCATTATAAATAGACAGATGATCACAAATAATAGATATTGAACAAGAGAAAAAATCTTGTTTTGTAAATTTGTGGCAACGACCGTCGTTATTGTCGTTGTCGTAGCCACCGACAACGTGGCCGGGGCTGATATTTCAACTTCCGGTATATGATTCAGTTTCCGATTTTTTGTCGCTATCAGTGAATATTTACCACAATGGTAATAATAATAATTATCATTATTATTATGTGAATACAATTGAATTTGTCCAATGATTGATGATTTATTATTCTGATCTAGTTTTTGTTGCTTACTTTTATTATTATTATTATCATTATTGATAATGCCATCACATTCAAAAAAGGCCATCAATTTGGATACCATTTTATTCGAAATTTGTGGACCGTTTTTTCCAGAATTAAAATTGATATAATATTAAACTGTAACAATATTTTACCGTCGATTCCATTATTATCATAATTATTCATGATTTTTTTTTAATTATGAACAGAAAGAAAAAATTCCGGAAAACAGTTACATAAATGGTTTCCTATTGAATCGGTAACATTTGCTTGGTGTGGTGTGTGTGTGTGATCAAAAGCTCTAAATAAGAATATCTTCTTCCATTTATCACATAAACATTTCAATTCTGATTTCCTTTTTTTTCTTTGCTCTGAGAATTATGAGAAAAACGAAAAAAAAATTCATTCAATGTGCCAAAAAAATGATTTCAAAAAAAAGAAAAAGATATTTTGATGATGTAATAAAAATCAATTTAGCGACTTTTCATCGCATTGCATTGCAGCTATAAATGTGAAACGAATATGAATTAATTGAGCGACTGTCTATAATCTTTTAGACTTTTATCAAGTTTATTCATATATATGACACTTTATTCTTGAAGTGTTTGAATGTGAAATATTTACACTTTATTTACAAGTGGATTTTGTTTTTTTTTTTTATTGAAATTTGAGAAATAATGTCCAAATGATGACTATAGTTCCAATAAAAGTGGATGCTACAATTCAAATATAATATTTCTTCAGATTATTTTTTTTTATTTCTTTTCCAGATTGTTCGCACCCAGAATAAAAAAAAAATGAAATGAAAATTCTTCACAATAGAATATTGAAAATATTTAGGCCACTATGAAATGTGAAATGATGTAATGATGGAAATTTTTCACTGAATTTGTCGATCATTGTCGGCTGTTGGAATTTCTGGATTTTTTCTTTTGATGCATTTTTTTTCTAGCTGCTGTTATTATCTGAGCATTAAATATTTTTTTATTCATTCAAAAATAGATGAAAAAAAAAATTCTTTATGTAAAGTTTTGAATCCAAATGACACTTTTGATTCTGATTATTTGGTCGAACGATAACAGCAGCAGCACCAACAACAACAACAACAACAGCAGCCAGCGCATGCAAACAGCTCCGAAAAAAAAATCCAAACTTCAAATCCAATATCGGATATGAGATTTGATGCATGCCGAAAAGATGCAGAAAAAAATATATAAATTTGTCTAGACACAAGAATATTTGATGATTGACATTTGGCAGAATATTATTTTCATATATTTTATTCCATCTTGCATTATATAAACTGAATAAAGTCAATTTATATGTCGACTTTGTGAAATTTTTAGTTTTTTTCACTCCAAATGTTTTTTTGTTGTTGTTGTTTGTCACAAAAAAGAGTTTTAGAACCGGAAAAAATAGAGTTCACTATGGGGCTCAATGTTCAGTGATCATCATCATCATCATCATCGATGAAATGTGATGTCATTCGAACCGAAACGTTTCCAAATGGATGATAATGATATGAACAATAATTTTTGACGATCGATTCAATACAATCATTATACACAACTGGAATTTTGGGCAAACAAAAAATTCTTTTATATTTTTTTTTTGTTACTGGAGATGGTAATTTTTTTCCAAAGTTTTTTGTTTTGTTTTCAAATTGTCAATATGTGTGTGAAAAAAAAGGACAATTGAACCAAAATAAATTTTGCAATTAGAAACGAATGATGAACATTAATGACAAAAAAAATGGCGTCTCAGAAAATAAAAACTATATCGTCGATTATTTAATGAAGCCGGATAGAATGAGAATAGAACACATAGAAAGGACTGTTATTTTATTTTATTTTTTTTTTTTTGGATATCATCATGACACACGCATTGCAATTTGAAAGTTTTCTTCATTTTCATTTATTTATTGCTACAATCAGCATTTTATGATGAGTGTGTTTGTTGTTGAAATATATGGGCCGAATTTTTTTTTGTGCTTCCTAGTTTTTTTTTCTTATATTCGATGCAATTGTAGAACGTGCAATATAAACAAAACTTGAAATGACAAAGATCAGCTTGAAACTGAATTCATATCAAAGATTTCAGAACCTGAATTTGTTGAAAACAACAACATACACACAAGATACAATTATAATGACGTAGAGAAGAATTGGTTTTCATTATTTTATATAATGGAGAATTTTTGTTGTTGTTGTTGTTGTCATGAAATTAGAATCCATCACTGATGGGTCAATGGCCGTCACTAATCGATGTAACAAACAAACACACTTACAAACACACACACACACACACGCAAACACAAAATAGATGACTACATTTGATAATGATCTAAAGTCGTTGATATCATTTTCAGTGATGAAAATGTTTTATAAATTTTTTTGTTTTTAGTCTTCAAACAACAATTTTTTTTTTGAAAAACATTTGAAATTTGATCATTATTATTGATTGAAGAATCGTTTTCGATTAATATCAAGATCTGGAACATTAACAATAATGACAATAAGATGTATTGACTGTATGATGACTGAAATCAACAAGATGTAATAATTTTATTGAACATTATTTTCGAACAAGAATGAAAACATTGGAAAATTGATGATGTGGCAATGTTGTTTTTAAAATTGTTTTTTCTTTACTCTCCATCTTTCTTTTATTCCTATACAAATTGTCACTTGATGTCATCACAATGTATGGTTGTGAAATGTTAATCAAAATTCGAATAAACACAGTACCGGAATCGAAACGATTCTAAAATTGTTGTTATCGGAAAAAGAAATTGGGAAAAAAAATCAAAATTTATTGTGATGACACAGCATCATTATCATTGAAATGTGGTGATGTTATGCAATCTGATTTGTTTCGATACATGAATTGTATTTACTTTGGTCAACACAAATTCGGTAACTTAATAACCGAATATTGACTCTAACGATGCGAAGAACAAAGATGAAATTCTCAAACACTTTTTGAAACGAGCGGAAAAAAAAAAACTTTTCAATATAGTAAAAACACTTTGGTCATTGTCATATGATAGACGAATGATTTCACATAAAATGATACAAAAATGTTATTATTCCACATCAATATTTATTTTCAAATGGATTTGACCACCGATCGTTGTATCATATATATATAAAAAACAACCGTATGGACCACAATAATGATGATGATGATGATGATGATAATCAATAAGTTTGCAAGTGTGTGCGTGTGTGAATAATTCAAATCCCAATTTTGATAGTGATGATGATGATGATGATGATCATCACCATCATCAAAAATCATCATAGATTAACATTAACTTTATGTGGACACGTTTTTCCATCAAAGTTATGTAATACATTTTAAGAGAGAAAAAAAATATGTTGTTGTAAACACGAAATGTTAATGAACAATATCGAGAATTACTATACACACACACACACGAATAAAATATACAAGAGAAAAAAAAAGATCTAGAGATTCTGAAGAAATCTTATAGGCCATGCACGAACATTGGCAAAATAATAATAATAATAATAAAAAATTTGTCAATCTATTATAGACTTGTTGGACGATGGACACATTTGTATTCGATAGAAAGATAGATAGAAAAAATTATTTTTTTTTGATCATAATATCCGATCACACACACAATGAAAACATAGAATATTGATGAGAATTTTGTCTTGGCAATGTTTTTGTTGTCGATGTTTTTGTTGTTAGTGATGATGTTATAAGCTTAGTGTGGAAATTTCACGCAAACACACACACACACACACATTAAACAACAACAAAAACAACAGCCATCATCACGACAAAATCTATACGAACTTTTCTTTTAGCTATTTTCATTCATTTATTAATGAAAAAAAGACAACGATGGTGT